TTTCCCCCCTGTGAACATCAGGCATGTTCCCCCTCTGGGACCTTTGGCTTCTGCCAGGACAGTAGTTTGCTTGTGATTCATATGTGAGCTTCAGAAAATATGGGCACTTGGTGATGATTTCAGGGATATGATGTTACTTCCATCCTTTTTACATTTGTGTGATCACTGTGTCTGGCATAATATTAAAGAGCATTGCAAATAACACTTAGTTGGAGCGATTACTCTTGCACAAGACTGTCTGGCAGATTGCAGGCCTTTACCAGATGTTCTGATTTACAAGTCCTGTAGCTCATCTTATTAAATTTGTTTAAAATAGAACCAAACCAGCTTAAAAATAAACAACCACTGCACAATAGGTGAATGCAAACAAAGGTTTTCTTTACTTACAAAATGTACCTATGGAAAACTGGAGCAGAAAATCAACTGAATAACTGTCATATCAGTGCTGCTACTGGCAGCAGAAATGACAGTTTTTATAATATTTGATTGTTTTGTTGTTGCAATGCATCAGATTTAATCTAAAAAATATATATTGTTGTCTTCTGAGAACATTTAGCAACAGAAAAGAACCATCTATTCTGGGACAATTCAGGAAGCAATGGTTATTTTTCACTTCAGAGTCTCTCAAAGGGGATCTACAGCTTGGAACAGGGACAAAATTGGACATGATACTCCAGGTGAAATTGTATAAAAACTAATAAAAAATGAAACTAAATACATGGCATGTCTTGCATGCAATGCTTTTGGTCAGGTACCTGTAGGAATATTTCCCATCTCTGTGTGAAAACATTAACTCTCGCTTTATATATATATATATATATAGTTAATATAACCTAATTTCTGCTGGCAGGTTATAAATATTAAAAGTGCATATTCCTTCCATGCTTGACACAGTACTGAAAAAACTAGAATCTCACTCCAGAAGCTCAGAACTGAGGTCAAAGCTGTAACTGCAGGTGTGCTTGCTAAGTAGCAGAGCTTTTTGATGTGTTCTGCTCTCCTCAGAAAAATCAAAACAAAAGAGCAAAATCTCAAATATATTTACAAAAAATTCCTGTCCATGGTTTCAGCAGGTATGGACTTAAATTCTGGTTTCTGAGTTGAAGTTGTCCTGATGTGCTGTGAGAAAAAATTAGAAAAACAACTCAGTAACCAATCTTTTCATAAGGCAAATAATCATAAAAGTGCTGTTTGCCAAAGTGATGTTACACTGGAAGGTGTTTCATACCTTCCAAACCCAATTTTTTAGATAACTTGTACAGAAAAGGCGTTGGACTCCTTTCCTGTGTTCCTGCATTTCACTATATTTGTTGTGTTTTATCTCTGGTGACACCCTCACAGAGGAGCACTCTGGGGAAAGAGCTCAAGAGCAAAATGAAGTGGTTCTGTGTGAGGAGGAAACTCCTGCCAAGGGAAAAGGTCAATTTGAGAGGAAGAGCAAACATACTTGGAAGTCTAGCAAGGCTGATTCTTGGCAGTAAAGGAAGGGCTTGAAAGTAAAGAAGTAGCTGCTTATGTTATTAGACTAAGACAGAGGTGTTTGTAGCAGCAATCAGAGTTACTGTGAGAGGGGAAAAAGGATTTGCTGTGGTTGTCACCATCATTAAGAGGTGGCTGAGAGGGTGATGCTCAGGCACATAAAGCTCTGACTTTGGCTTCAGTGTAATTGAGACCAGATGGCCAATTTGAAGATGTCTGTGCTGTGTATCTGAGTATCAGAAGGCACAAAGGCTGGAGGAAAAGCCAGCGGGAGAGTTTTGGGTTTGCCAGGTGGAGCAGACATCAAGTCATCCTTCATGGGGTGTCAGGCTGAGATTTATTCTTGCTAGAAGAACAGGTTAGGGGGGTTTTCTCAGCTCAGCTTTAGGTGGCCAAGGGACTTTGTCAAAATGCTATCAATGTTTGCATCTTCCATTTCTAGGACTGTCTTTACTGGAAAACTAGAGCAGGCCATGGCACTGAGGGGTATTGCTGAGCACAGAATAAATCAATTTAGAGACTGTGACAGGCTGTGTAAGAGGCCCCAAGCAAAGTCCTGCCTTGTGGGAGACAGTACAGCACATAACACACAGTACAGCCAGAGTGCTGTGTCACCCCTGCAAAGACTTGTAAAAATGGTCAGTTATCTCACATGGCTGTGGATCGTGAATATGTCTCAGACTTTAGCGTGGCTGGTTTATGCTCAAGTTTCAGGCTCGAGATTCAGTGACTGTTATTTCTTTTATTTCTCTTATTTCTGTTTGTTTCTGTTATTTCTATATTTTTTCTAGCACACAAGGTGAGAGCAAAGCCAGTGCTATGTGATTTATTTAGATAATACTAAATATATAATGTTTATAAACAAACAGGGGCTAGTCTGACAGTGCTGAACTTCACTGCTGAACCTGCCTGCTCACAAAACCCCTTTACTTCTCCAAAAAGCTGCTTGTCAGCTAAATGCAGACTGTTTTCACTGGCTGCTCTTTCAGTCTGTGGTAATTCATTCTGCAATATATCCTTTTTGTCATGTTTATCATTTTCAGATCTCTATCAGGAAAATTTGTTTTACATCAGCTTTAAATAAAACTTAACTTTTGCTATTACTCCTAGTATCTGCTGAGAAATTTTATATGATTAAGAGATATTTTGATTAGCTGAGGTGACCAATTTGAAGGTAGTCAGGGGTTGTGACTGGCTTTCCTTTGCTGTGGCTCATTGATAATCACTGATGGCTCTTTGCTGGTCTGTAGTAAAGCTACTACAGGTGGTAAAAACACCATGATATTCCTCCTCTGTGCGCTTGGGTTGGTGAGCACAAACCCCTTCTGTGCTACAGCCTCGTCTGTTAAAGGACAGCATTGTTTATGCATCCAAAGAATTTTCAAAACATGAGCTGAGAAACTTTAGCAGTAATATTTTGGCGCTGGCTTTGCAGGGTTACACCCAATTTGAGGTTCTCTATCAGTCTCCACATCGCTGAGAGCACTGCAGAGGCACCAGTGAGCAAACCACCAGTGCTTCCTTTCCAGCAAGGTCAGAGCAGCTGAGAACAGCAAACTGGCCTGTAAATAGTAAAATATTGGAGGCTGCTGAGGTAATTCTGCCGGCAGACGGGGACGAGGAAGGATGAGACAGATGAAGGATGAACACATTTGATGTAATCACAGTTATTTGCCAGGCTTGTGTTCAAAGTCCAGCTCCTTTAAGTAGAAGAAAGATAGAAGAGGTCTTGTTGCAGATTTTTCAGCCCATCTCCTGCCCATAAGCTCTCGAGCATTTAGGATTTGCCCACAGGTGTTGAACTGCAGGAACCCTGCAGGTCTGGTACAAGGGAGCTTTGCCCTCCCCAGCTTATCCTAAGGCTCCTGTGCTCCCTTCAGTGTGTTCTGAGTGTTGCTTTCTCGTGGTAGTTTTGTTTCTACCATTTCAGTCACTCACAGGGTGGCACCAGAGTGCTCTGCATTTTCCTCTCCAGACATGGAGAAGTTCAGTTGGTTCTGTCGGATTTGGGAATCCATCCTTCTTCCAGCTTTCCTTTTCAGACCTACAGCATCAGATCCCAGGGGCTGCCCAGCTAAATCCTGTGGAGGCCATTGGAGAGAGGAACCTGGACCATGGTAACTGGGGATACTCACAGGAGTATTTCCTTCAGGGATGGGTTTTGCCTCTGTAACTGGAGCCCCCAAACTGGATATGCTCCTTTTTTGAAGCTTTTACACACAACTTTGTGTTTGCCAGTGGCTGTGCTGCAGTTTTGATTAGCAAGAGAGGTGAGCCCTGCTTTAACGATGGGCTGGACTGTACCTGTGCAGTCCAGGCCTCTTGGCACCTCTGAGGTGCTCTCTTGAGACCCTTCCTGTGATCTAAGCAGGAGGGCAGGACTGTGCTTTGTGGGACTGGGCCTGCTGCTCAGGAGGTTTGGAGGGGGGCTTGGCTGGGTCCTTGGCTGGCTGAACCGCCCTGAATTCCAGGTGAGCTCTGCACATCGGATGTACTGTGCTTTTCCATAGACTGTATACAGGTATATATTTATTTAAACTGTACTTGGGAGACATTCTACTCAAGGTGTCTTCTCTTGACCTGTATGTAAACGAGTCTGTAACTTCAAGTGGGATGAGAAGGTGTTATTAGGGAAACCATTTCAAGCCACTTAGTGAAGCTATCAAGAACCACAGGAGCTGTGCAATCCTTGCTCCTGTGTGCTAGTTCTTCCCATTTTAGGAGAAATCTTTCTAATGCAATGCTATATATATATTTTTATAAAAAAACCTTTTGCTTCTTACACATTTTGTCCAAGAAATTAGTTGAACTTGGTCTCAAAATTACCCCAGTTTTATAGTCCTTGCGTAGGTTGAAAAATCTGCTGAGAGTGTCTTCTCCTTGCAGCAATTGCACATCATCACTTCAGAGCACTTCTTAACCTTTGCTCTGTAATCTGAACAGTCCCTTGGCTTGGTGGTGTTTCTGATGCCCCCATCATTTGGCTGTTCATACATTATCATTGGAATCTGTGTGCTAAAGAACAATTCTTTTTATCCGTATTTTTATCTGCAAGTAAGTATTCTTTCCCTTTCTAATACTAAATGTATCAAAGCAGAAGAATCTGGCACCAGTTGTGGGTGGAAGATGTGGAATAGCTGAACCCAATGATCTGAGAAGTGATTGGAGCCGAGTTAAGTGTGTCCAGACATGCAAATGTGTTTATAAAAGCCTGCAGCCAGTTAGGGATTACATTTACCATCATTCCCAGGGCATGGCTGGATACACTGCTTGGATGTGGAGTTTATTAGTGCAGCGCTGCTGGAGGTGTGATCCCTAACACCCCACTGAGCTCTGGCCATCAGCTGCCACTCTCTGGTGTTTCCTTTCTGTTCCAGCTCACACCCAGAACTACCCTGTGCCTCAAAGTTTGTCCAGGGATACAAAGGGCAAATAAAGCCATGGGTGTCCTGAAGCAACAGCTCCACATGAACGGAGAACTTCTGTGTATGCAAGACTTGGAACTGTCTCTGATTTCCCAGCAGGAAATACAGCTGCACTTCAGCAAGTCACTGAGGCTCTTCAGCAAGTCACTGAGGCTCTTCAGCATCAATGAATGTCGGTGATGAAGGTGTTTGAGGTTTCCAGACTCCAGGGTGGTGCTGAGTGATGGCCGATGGTACCGCTGGGTTTTGTCCCCAGTCAGAATCTCCGCTGAAGCAAAGGCCAGAAGGCCAGAAGGCTGAAGGAGCCAGAAACAAAGCATGGCCCTGCCCAGCAGCCCTCACCCATCCACACATCTGTACATCCCAGGATCCCGGCAGGGATAACTGGAAATGTGCCAGGCGGCTTCTTTTCATCCCCCTCGCCCGGCGTGTCCTGTTCGCCCGTGTGCGCCTGCGGAGCAGGCCTTGGATTGCAGCCCCACCACCTAATCCGGGGAGTTCAGAGGTTGGGCCGTGCCAAGTTTGTATTGGCAGCAGCCTTGGATTGGAGCTGCCAGAACTAGAAATGCCTCTGAAGTCAAAGGGTAGCAGAGCTCCCCCTCAGACCCCGGGAGCAGAGTCCTGCCTGGAATTGCCACGCCAGTGGGAGCGCTGACGGCAGCGTTACTCACCATCCGGCTCTGCTCCTGCTGTCTGGGTCTCACTTGGCAAGTGGCCTTTCCTCAGTCAAGCACTGCTGCTCTGGTCTGTCCTGAGCATCCTCCTCACCTGGTAACTTGTTTTCCCTTTAACCCACAGGGCTGTGCATCCTGCATGGATTCATTACTGTGCCCACTCCGTAGCTTTTTAACTCAACTGGTGTGAAGGAAAACCAAACCTCAGTGGATTTCCTCTCTCAGGGGATGGGCAAGCTGGATCCCTACAGGTGTGTTGGGATATTCCTTGCTGGCCTCTGGTTCCTGGAGACCCGTCCTGTGCCTCACTTGCCCAGCCAGAGGTACAGAAACCTGATGGTGTATTGGGGTCACCTTTTAACAGGTGGTGGGTGTGTATTTTCTATCCTCACTGGCCCTGGTTGGCCCTGGTTTCATCCCTGAATTCTTTTTCCTGCCTTATTCTTCTCCTAAAACTTAGATTTGGAAGGAACCACACAGGTTTTTTGCCAAGTGCTGTATTTTAGCATGTAGTTTCCTTCAGGCTTTATTAAGGAAGGAAAAGGGAGTCTGATTATGCTCTGGCAAAGGCTTGGATGTAGCAGGGTTTTTTCCTGGAATACAGGCACGGGCTGAGTGCTCTCAGGCATTGCTGCAGCACCAGGTACCTAAGGCATATCCACCAGGGTGAGCTCCAGGAGACTGGTGTGCCCAGCTGCTGGAATGCCACCAGCTGTCACACTGACACCACCAGGAGGTACAGATTCATCTCCACAGGGGATAGAAGCGCTTTTGCCATCTTTCCCAGGGTGTGTTTGATCTCGATAGTGTTGTTAATTAAATGTTGCCATGTTTGTGCCTGGGTGAGGCCCAGGGACAGAGGAAGGAGCCATTGTCACAGGGCTGTGTTTCAGGGACAGGGGCAGGAGAAAATGCTGCCCCAGGAAACCCAATGAGCAGTGGAACAGGAGGCTCCTACAGAAGGAGGAGGGAGCACTGAAGCATTAACTGTGTGTTCAGCACATCTCTGAACTACTCCACAGCAATTGCTCTCCCTAGGACCTCCTTCTGAACTATTTGGTGTAGTGTTTTTCTTCTAATAAGAACTTCAGATTCTCATATACTCATATGGTGTCAGGGAGTTCAAGCCAGTGTTAGACAGTGCTGGCTCTGGGATTAAGTAGGTATTTCCAGAGGGCCTTTTGCTCCTTCTGGGATAGACATCATATCTGTGATTTAACTACTTAACAGGGTTCCTGGTTCTTTACCTGGGGCCTTTCACCACTCCCTCCAAATGCAAATCACCCCCTCTCCTTCCACAGTGGTTTCCAGGTCTCTGCCCTCACTGTCAGTGTACTGACCACAGGCAGCACCAGGGCTCTGTTCCTCAAGCTGAACAATGAACAGACCTTTAACTGTGGGCATTAATGGCCAACATTCTTCCATTCAGTCCTGAATTAAAATGTATCACAATGTTTAAGGCCAGAAGTTCCCTTTCAGCATCACAGGGGTAGTCTGGACTGTACCTTCAGGCAGAGTTAGTCAGAATTAACTGTTTGCATGTTCTCCATCCCAATTTTCACCTGCATTTCCTTTTCTATGGAATTTGATATAGGTTTGTTCCTCACAGGAGAGCATTTGCAAATTGTCTTGTGATAAATGATATGGTGACCAAATCAGCCTTCCATGGGACTGCAGGGAACCTTTCACAGTGCAAATATTGCTGCAGACTAATGACAAAGTGACTGTAGAGCCCTTAGCCACTGAAAATTGCATCCAAGGTTTGGTCAGCCTTACCTAAAGTGGTAATAAACACAGTAGAATATTTGTTGTATTTATGAAATTTAAAATTTGCATTTATGGGCACATGAACACATACTAACCTGTCTCTTGCCTCTCAGCTTCGACCAGAAAAACTAATAATAAACAGCAGCCTTTCCAGCCTGTTTGCAACAGGGTCAGGGAGCTTGTGGAGGTAGAGTTGCTCTGATATTTAATTACCATGTCTGCAATTCTTCTAATAGAGCAGAAGAGAAATTCATAACACAGATCAAGGTCCAAGGAAGAGAAAGGGAACAAAGAGCAAGGTTAGGGGAAAATTGGTGGATCTTTCACTGGAGATAATATTATTCAATAATACACACAAAACACTATTGGGAAACAATTTGTCCCTGGGGTTAAAAATATACTTTAATGCTGGTGATAATCTCTTACTATCCCTGAGTGCCAGGAAGAGGGAAAACAGCTGGAGCTGCTCCCTGGTTTGCTGGGTACAATACCTTCTGCACTCTCCCCTGGCACTCAAGGAAAGAGCTTTACAAAGGGGAAGGAATTTTTTTCAAAGATAAAACTCCCAGCAGTCTCAAAGGTAATGGGAACCTTTATTTTGATTATTTTCATTGCACTGACATTGTCCTTTTATGCAAACTTAACTGTAAAACACTCTTGAGATACTGCATAGAAAATACACATAGGAAAAAAACACATATATACATGTCCATAAAAATAGAATACATCTTGGCAAAATTACCTGTGTACAGTGTATTGACATTATTGAACCAAACTTACACCACCTTGGGAGAAAAATGTTCCATGTGCGTAAAAACCCAGCACCTTGACTGAGTTGGGAGTACTGCAGTGGGTTAAATAAATGGCTATACCAGAATGGCAGAGTAAAAACAACTTATAAAATACCTGCTGGATAAAGTACAAGTAGCCATGTTGGTTTTTTTCTTCCAAAAAATAATGACATCTCTACACTTGCATGGAACCCAAAAGGTACCAGTTCCAACTCTCCTGTAGATTTGTTGGCTGAAAACAGACTTTAGTATCATTTGTTTCAGCGTTTGCAATCCCTGGGCACGGTGGCATTTGGTGGTTTTAAGCACACAACACAGTACAGCACAGCCCTAATTCTATTGGGTGTTGAGAAGGAAAAAACCTAATAGATATAAAATGGTAAAACACTTTGCAACCTTTAAAACCTTTAAAATACGCAGACCACTTGTTTTCTTCTGGTCAGGCTTTTCTTCAGTTGCTTTCAATGGAGGCTGCTCCTTCCTTACTGCTTTGACCACGTGGATTTTCCCTGCTGGTTTTCAGAACTTACCGTGGAAAATGACTACTCCAGTGTAATAAATAAAACAAGTGGTAACAGGTCCTCAAAGCCACGGCTTTTCCTCTTGAACTGGAACAAGGGGCCTGGGGAGGCAGCCAGGGGGAAGGAGCAGAGCGTGGCACCCCTGTGAGATGGCGGCGGCGCCCTGCGTGGCACCGGGTGTCAGTAGGGGTAGGCGGACACGGCGATGTACACGATGAAGGTGGTCTGGTACTCGAGGCTGCCGTCGGCGCCGTAGGACAGGGCCCTGACCCCCATGCGGTACGTCCGGGGCTCGCGCAGCGCCCGCCGCGTGAACACCACCCCCTTGAGGTTCTCGTCCCGCAGGGCGAACGGCACGGCCGGGTCCTCCTCGGCCATGGAGAAGGTGGTGCGCGGGTGCACCACCTGCTCGTGGGTGTAGGCCACCAGCCGGATCAGGTCCTGCCCCGCCGTGATGCCGAAGGGCAGCGACAGCAGCTTGTACTCCAGGGCGTAGGTGCTCAGGTCACACTCCAGGTCGTTGGCTGGGCAGCTCTTGAGACAGAACCTGGGAAGAAGCAGAAGACTTTAGCTCGGGGACAAGGCACAATATCCTCAGTGGTGCAACAGGTCTTAGAGGAGAAACTCTCCCCTGCTGCAGATTAAAACTTCTCTGTCAAGTGCTCATCTACTCCTTCATCCATTGTTCCTTTAAAGCTACAGCCCCTTTACTGTCCCATTTTCCCTCAATAGGATCACCTCAGAAACACACTGGCTACGTTTGTCGTCAAAGTCAGGGCGTATGTTTTAGTGACCACACTCTAAAACAGTAGAGCAGGTGGGCTGGTTTAAAATGTCTGGGGCAGCTCCATTTGAGGTGTCTGTCTGTTAGATCTTAAACAATTTGGAATGAAGGGCAGAGTAAATTCTACTTCTACTAATCAAAACTTAAAATAGGAGAACTTTGCTAGTGCTGCTTGTCAGTGCAAACAAACAAGGGTCAAAGGACGTGACCCATGTCAGCTTAAATGTCACTGCAGTTGAGTTTGATCCCAAAAGATGGTTTCTGACTATGAATCAAGCTATTTCTTTGAGTATGTTAAAAGACTAAAAGAAATTAATGTGTTGGGTTTTTTTCCAGAAGAGGGAAACAACAAAACTTATCAGGAACTGTAGCATTATTTTCACGACTAAAAGAATATATTCAATGCTTTGAAGCTGGTAGCAAGTCAGGCCAGTAGGGAGATTCAGATATCAGGAATTGTTCCCTGTGAGGGTGGGGAGGCCCTGGCACAGGTTGCCTGGAGAAGCTGGGGCTGCCCCTGGATCCCTGGAAGTGCCCAAGGCCAGGCTGGATGGGGCTTGGAACAACCTGGGCTAGTGGAAGGTGTCCCTGCCCATGGCAGGGGTGGCACTGGATGGGCTGTAAAGTCCCATCCAACCCAAACCATTCCATGATTCTATGATTTTTATCAGCTTTACTGGTGTCCGGCAAACTTAAAATGTTCTTCTTCAACAAACACAGGTCTCAGCCTGGGATGGGTGAAAAAGGGCTGAAGATAAAACGTACCCAGAAAGTGGCTCTCGCTGGTAGTTGGGTGGACAAGGTGTGTCTATGCATTGGTAGCTTCCTCTCATGTTGAAACACATCTGATTGGATCCACAATTAATATTCTGTTCCAGGCACTCATCAATATCTGGATGGAAAAACATGCAAGGGATCAGTTGTTGGTAGAATTAGAGGGTAGACACCGAAGTGGGTAAAGGCTGAGCAGAGCACAGAGGGTGCCTCTGCCTGACCCTGGAGCTTGGGGCTCAGTGTGTAATGTGAGCTCACAGGGGAACTTCAGAGAATTAGAAGGTGCAATTGTCTTGTTTGCTGCTGGTTTAGGGAACATTAAAGTGTGGAATATAAAACTTCTGAAAATTGGAATTCTGAAGGCTCTCCCACGAGCAGCTCAAGGAGGTGGCTGAGCCCCGTCCTGCTCTGTAGCTTGTTCCCTTGCAGCTCTGCCCACTGTCCGTACCTTGGCAGGTTTTGCCGTTGGCCATGAGGCGATATCCCGAGGGACAGGCACACTGGAAGCTGCCCAGGGTGTTCCTGCACTCGTGCTGACAGGTGTCCCTGCTCTCACATTCGTCGATGTCTGTGGAGAGAAGCACCATCACCAGGATTACCTGACCCTGGATGAACTGTTCAGGTCTATGGACAGAGCTGGGGGAATTTGTCTGGATCTTGTTTCCTGATGGGGCTGAATGTGTCAGACTAGAGTGTCCCCTTACCTGTGCCAGCCCTTGTAACTCTGTAGTAACTACAGCCAGCTCTGAGGGGGTCCTGCCCTCTGGGGACAGCAGCTGTAGCACACAGCCCAGCTGAAGGGACCGGGGAGAGGGGGGGATCTGTGTCCACTGACAGGGTTATACAAACACAGACCTGCCCCCGAGGCAAGCACAGCTGATCATCTGATAATCAGGTGTTAAGCCACATGCTTGAGGAACACCCAGATCAGTTATCTTGCCTTGACAGTGGGGAAGTGGTTCCTACAGTCAGTCCCTCCTCAGGGAACGCTGTTTCCCTTCCAAACTAACCTTCCCTATGCCACAGGGATGAGTTAAGCTCAGTATCCAGAAAGACTATCAATAACTGCTCTTAACTTTTTTTTTTCTTAAATCTCCTTCTCAAATACAGAAGTACCAGACCACATTATGTAAAGTTTGCAAAGCAAACTAGTGTGATTTAGACACAGATAATTTATAATTATAGTGGCTTTTCAAACATCTGCCTAATTCAGCACAACAATACAGTTAATCTCATGCAAGATTTTGGATTTGCATGATTAAACCAGTGGCAGGAAGGTCTTGGCTTCCCTTCTCTCTAATTTACAGGGGTTGCATTATGTAAACAGAGAAGAGAAGCAGATGTGAACAGAAACCTCTGGTGTGTTGTTATCAAATCCTGATGGTTGTCTGTTGAAAGAACTTCAACAAAAGTATCATTTGGGTGTATTTTTCATATTAAACAGTCATTTTTAAACCTAGATGATTATTACACGAAACAAAAGTACAAGAATATTAACTAATTCCAACTGGAAACTGGGATGAAGATCAGAGGTTGGAGCTTCCCCTTTCCCTCAGTGGGAGCTGTGTCCCTGGGCCTCTCAGTTAAACTGCTGTACCAACCCCCAGCTGTGTGACTACTGAAATCTCTTTATAACTTAAATACAAGGTCTGATGTCTGCCTGGCCTTACATTATTTATGAAATGCCTGTTCATGTGTGTCACCATTATATCTCACTGCATAATCCCAGCAGGAATTCTGATGCTAGAACCTCTCTGCAGATCACCATTTACGCTGGAAGGATGTTGTGCCTACTGGGAAGTGTCATTTCCTTAAGATACTCAAAACATGAGATAAGCTGGCAAAATCTGGCTTAGGAGAAGTGTATTTCCAAAAATTAAGTAATTTTTTTTATATCCCCCAAAAACCAGGGGCAGAGCTTGCCAGTTCCTGTAACTGCCCAGTCTCCTCCTCAGGGAAGAAATGCCTGTGCTGTCACTGCCCCAACTCCTGACAAACCTATTTGTTTACTTACCACCAGTCTCTCCAGGCTCGCTGAATTATGTTGTAACCCCTCTTCTTATATAAAATAACAATAATCTAAAAGCTTCTGTGCCTGCTGCCCATGTGACACCGACTGTCCCTGTAGCAGTGCTGGCACTGGCCCCAGTGTGCCCAACTCTAAAATCTTTTCTGAACCAGATTGTTGCTGCCATCAGTGGGAGTCTGACAGAAGCAATGGGACTGGGGCTGCTGGTGGATTTTGGAGAGTGAGAAGATTCACCAAGGTGAGCTACTGTGATCAGGAGAAAGAGAGTAAGGGAGAGAAGAACTTGGCAAACACACAGTTAAAACAAGAGGATACAAAGAGGTTTGAAAACATTTTTGCTACAATGTGAGCAAAGACGGGAGAGACAAGAACATGCAGAACCCTCTGAATACTGACCAGGGTAAACAGAAAAAAAACCCACAGGACCACAAACCCTCAGCCCCTGGTAGACATCAAAGAGTAACCTAAGAATAAGGCCCAAAACAAGAGAGTTGCAGAGATAGACTGACATTTACCTACACATCTGCCATTTCTTGCCTCAAAGCCTTCAGGACAAGTTTCTCTAATGTTCCTTCTAGTCCTGGAGAAAGGTATTCTGCTGTTCCTATACTCTGAGAAGGAGCTGTAGAGATTTGAGGAGTGCCTGTAATAGTGCTGCTGTTGCTGGTTGTCTCTCCCAGGGGAGAACTGAGCATAGTTATAGCTACTGTAATAGGCCCCAGAACTTGGCAGCCTCTCCAAGCCGGCGCAAGATTTCCCATCACCCAGCAACTGCTGCCCAGGTGCACAGAGACACTTGAAGCTGCCGGGGGTGTTGGTGCATTGAAAGGCACAGGGTTTAGGCACTTGTTCACATTCATTAATGTCTGCCCATGGCACATGATCCAGAGCCACAAACCATGTGGAAAGGAGAGAAAACAAACAAACAACAACACGTAACTATACGTATATATACACACAGATACTTATCTCAGTCTGAGGAACACGCTGAAGACACAAAGGTGAGACTTTGAGGGCAGTAAAACATGGAGAACACGATGCCAAGCAGGCAGGTTATGCTGTCCTGGACTGTCCCACACCTTTACTCTCTAAGAAATGAGCCTGTGAGGCTCACTGTGACTGTGCTCCCTGCTAAAGGGCCTGCCTCAAGTGTGCAGTGTTTCAGCCTCAGCTCTTCAATACTATTTAGTAATGGTTTGGGGTTTTTTCCTTAAGTGCTACAGACTTAAGGATGAGTGGGAGAAGCTGCCAGGCCCTTCTTTAAAGGAAGATACTTAACACAGAGCCTGCCAGAGAAGTGCAGTGTTAGAAATTCATTACCCGGCACGGAGGGAAGAGCAGCAGGCTCCAGTGTGGTTACTGTGGGGAAATCATGGAGTGGTTTGGGTTGGAAGGGACCTTAAAGCCCACCCAGTGCCACCCCCTGCCATGGGCAGGGACACCTTCCCCTAGCCCAGGTTGCTCCAAGCTCATCCAACCTGGCCTTGGACACCTCCAGGGATGGGGTCAGGGCTGGAGGATGAGTTTCAAGGCTGCAGGGGGGAAGAGGTCAGGTAAGTTCTAACCTGTGATTCTGTTATTGGTCATTCCAGCTGTGACAGGTTGGGGACTTAACAGCAAATATTAATTCACTTTTATATAATTAAAAAATAAAATAATGTTTGTTTTCTTAAGCAATGCATTTTTTTTAAGTTGTTTTCCTTTAAATTGCAATCCAAAGTAATTTGACCCACCCCATCCTTGAATCAAACCAGAGTGCTGAGCATACAGAGTAAAGGGTTTAGGGTACAACATGCTGAGTGTCCTTCACTCTGAGTAAACTGGGAGTGCTCTTGGTACTGCAGGACCTGACCTGCCCCCACAGGTTCTCTGGCACTGCCAGTAAGAAATTTCCTAAAATTATCCTCAAGTTACTTCAGGCCCAGCTGGAGATTTGACATCACTGTATTTCTTTTCAAACTTACAGTCTGTCTTCACTAGAAAAAGACAAGAATCTGCAAATTCCAAACAACTCTGCAATGTCCAGAAATAAATAACCCAATATTAACACACATCACAACATATGTATAACTGCCATATATTATAAACCTTTTTGTAACTAGAAATTAAAATTATCTTAATAGTGACTCAATTATTTAATATTAGTGGATAGTGTATATTCTTTCAACTATTATTGTAAAAATGCCATTAAGCCAATGCTGTTACACTTCCCTCTGAACAGAGGATTTTTGAGTTTGTAACACTGCAAGCCACAACTGCATGATAATGGTTTTTAAAAAGCAATACTGTCAGAACATTACACTGCATTTTTATGAAGTGTTTAATATCTGATATACTTAAGGGTTTAAAGAATTTAGGGGGGTATTAATAATTAAATGTTTTAAGAGTGGGAAACCCAGGAGTAATTACTGCAGAGTATTACAGTATTTTCCAACTGTTATTTGGCAAACAAACAACTGAAGCTTTATAATATATTCGTGAAAATCCTCAGGGTAAGATTGTCAGGTTTTGCAAACAAGAGAACTTCACTTTTTGTATGGTAACAACTAATCTGAATTTTAAATGTATTCATTTCACTGTTTTTCACCCTAAAACTTATAATTTCCTTAGCACTTAAGTGCTGAGTTTTACATTCTGTTAGTAAAAGAAACTAACAATAATCCTTTATGACAACCAGTGTCCCTGGAACAAGTTGTGAATGAGCAATAGAAGATTGTCATAGAATGAAAGAAAACAGGTGAAAATTGGGGCAGTTTCTTTTGCAGGAGCAGCCTGTGCAATACAAAACCCCAGAGAGTCACCTGTGTTTGCCCATGGCTGTCCCTGTGAGAAGAGCTCACTGAGGGGTGGCAATCCTAATATTTACAAGAACAAGGTAAAATTACTTTGAAATTAAAATAGCTACATTTTCAGGCTTTCTTAAATTTGAAGAACAATATTTGATTTCATATTCTAGACAGCCTTGCATGTGTTATATACAAACATGCTTTATAGCAGCTTTTTGTGATGCCTTTCCACCTGTGACCTGGTATGTTGAGATTCCACAGTAATGCTGTAATTCAGTGGATTTTATTAACATATGAACTGATGCTTTGGATGAACCTATATTTTAAATATGGTTTTTAAGCAGATAAAAATTGAAAGGATAAAAATTCAAGTCATACTTTTAAGAGGGAGCTTTCAGTGGTCCTTGGTCAGAAGGCAGCTTTAGGGCAGTTGCTGGTGCTCTGTGGAAACCCACAGTCCTAGACTTCATCTAGCTTATTCCTGCCAGAAGTTTACATGGTTTTAATATATGTTAAGAAGTCTGGGATTGATTTTATTTCAGTAGAGATGCAGATGGTGGAAGTAACATCTTGGTCTACAGCCAAACACTTCCTTACTGTAATTTAATCTCTTTAAAAAAAAAATCACCCAAACACTCCTGGGTTTTGGTAGTTCAAAATCTTAGGTTGTTAAAGAAAAATAAAATAAGAAAATAGCTATTTATCACTTAGGAAAGCTAATCTTGAACAAGTCATGAGGGAGGAATAATTCTCTGCTCTGATACATGAGAGCAACCACAACCAACCTCTCTAAATGTCAAATACTGACATTCAGGAATCATTAGCAGGGTGGATCAGCTATTTTGTTTTAAATATTCTACATAAATGCAAAAAAGGTGATGCTAAATGATTCCAGTGCCTTCTTGAGGTCTCTTAAATGCCAGGAAGTGTTCTGTGCACTGACAGCACATACCAAACTCTTGCTCTCCACGTCAGAGCTGTGAGAGCCTCCTGAGCTGCTCCACCCGTGTGTGGGAGAAAGGTCTGCAGGGCCTCGTGCCAGACAGTTCTGCACAGCTGGCACAGGGCAGGGACTGTGTGGTCAGCATTCCTGGGACAGACAGGAACACTCCTGCCCTGCTCTGAGCCACCCACACCAGGATAAACACGTTCAGCTCCCTCTGCTCTGCCGTGTGGGGAACCCCCTTGGCAGTGCTGTGTGGGGAGGGGTGTTCGGGATGGCCCTGAGCAGAGGTGAGTTCTGGGTCTATCCTGCCTCTCACAACACTCTCCTTGGGGTGCTCTCCATAGGGGAATCCACGTGATTCCCTGTGTGACTGCCTTCACGTGTGAACCAGTGCAGGCCAGGGGACAGCCAGGCACAGCAACAAATCTCACCTGGTTTTTATAAACGAAGCCTCCTGTGGAAGGGTCACTCGCCACCTCCATCCACCAGTGCCCTGAGACCCTTTTACACTTTGCTTTCAAAGCATGGCCCCAAACCAATCTCCATTTGGAACCATTTAGCTTTGACTGCTTTGAACGAGATGCTTTGTTTTGGATGGGCAACCTGGGAACCCAGAGCAAACTCCTCTCTAGAGCACAGCGTTCCCCAGGCACAGCAGTGCCGTGTGCCAGAGCAGCCAGCCCAGGCAGCAGCAGCAGCAGCAGCAGCAGGGGGTGACAGGAGGGTGGTTGCAGCTTACCCACACAGGGCCTGCCCGTGCCCTGTGCCCGGAAGCCCCGTGGGCACAGGCAGCGGTAACTGCCCCGCGTGTTCTCGCAGAGCTGGGGCGCGCGGCACTGGTGCGTCCCGGCACGGCACTCGTCCACATCTGCAGGAACAGCAAAGCAACAGTCACCGGGGGCTGGGGAAGGCAGGCAGAGGAGCCTGTGTGCATCTGGCCCTCTGAATGCACACTCTTCTTCTTCCCTGGTGCCCGAGTCAGGCATTACTGTCTAACGTGTGGTACCAAGCACAGCCTGGGTCTCACAAGCTGAAAGCAGGTTTTGGGCAGGTATAGAGAGAAATTTTCAACTGTTTGGCATTTACAGACACTTTTTCCATAAAGTTTCAAAACTTTTCATTGAGGTTTCCAATGTGATCAGCTATTCTACAAAGAGAGAGAATCCATCTTCCTGTGATATCATATCTGGGATTGCTCAGCCTGGAGAAGGCTCCAGGGAGACCTCATTGTGGCCTTTCAGTACTTTAGGGCTTACAAAAAAACAGGGAGAGCAACTTTTACATGGGCAGAACAGTTTTAAACTAAAGGAGGAGAGATTAAGTTAGTTATGAGGAAGAAATCCTTCCCTGTGAGGGTGGGGAGGCCCTGGCACAGGTTGCCCAGAGAAGCTGTGGCTGCCCCTGGATCCCTGGAAGTGTCCAAGGCCAGGTTGGAGCAACCTGGGCTGGTGGAAGGTGTCCCTGCCCATGGCAGGTGGGCCACTTCCAACCCAACCATTCCACGATCCCACGAGAGTAAAAGCTTTGGTAGCATCTATAACATCAGCTTCTTAAAAAGCCTGAAGACACAATTATAGAATCACAGAATCATAGAATCAGCCAGGTTGGAGGAGAACTGTGAGATCATCCAGGTCAGCCCTTGGTCTGCTACCACTGCAGTTCCCAGCCCATGGCACTGATGCCACATCAGTCTCATCTTGGAAACCTCCAGAGACGGAGAATCCACCACTTCCCTGGGCAGCCCATTCCAATGGCTGATTACCCTCTCTGGAAAGAATTTCTTGCTAATGTTCAACCTAAACCTCCCCTGGCACAGTTTAAGACCGAGCCCTCTTGTCTTGCTGATGGTTGCCTGGGAGCAGAGCCCGACCCCCCATGGCTTCCCCCTCCTGTCAGGGAGTTGTAGAGAGTGAGGAGGTCTCCCCTGAGCCTCCTCCTCTCCAGGCTGAGCCCCCCCAGCTCCCTCAGCCTCTCCTCACAGCACTTGTGCTCCAGTCCCTTCCCCAGCCTCGTTGCTCTCCTCTGGACCTGCTCCAGCCCCTCAATGTCCTTCCTGAGCTGAGGGCCCAGAACTGGACACAGCACTCCAGGGGTGGCCTCACCAGCGCTGAGTCCAGGGGCACAATCCCTGCCCTGGTCCTGCTGCCACACTGTTCCTGATCCAGGCCAGGATCCATTGGCCTTCTTGGCCACCTGGGCAAACTCTGGCTCCTGTTCAGCTTCCTGTCCATCCCCACTCCCAGCTCCCTTCCTGCCTGGCTGCTCTCCAGCCCCTCTGGCCCAGCCTGGAGCTGTCAGGGGTGGTTGTGGCCAAAGTGCAGGACCCGGCCCTTGGCCTGGTTGAACCTCATCCTGTTGGAATCAGCCCATGGATCCAGCCTGTCCAGGTCCCTCTGCAGAGCCCTCCTGCCTTCCAGCTGATCCACACTCCCCCCCAGCTTGGTGTTATCTGCAAATGTGCTGATGATGGACTCAATCCCCTCATCCAGATCATCAATAAAGATATTAAACAGGACTGGGCCCAACTCTGATCCCTGGGGACACCACTGGTGACGGATCCCAGCTGGATGCAGCTCCATTCCCACCACTCTCTGGCCCTCCAGCCAGTTCCTGACCCAGCCCAGAGTGCCCCTGCCCAAGCCTTTTCCAGGAGAATGCTGTGGGAGATGGTGTCCAAGGCTTTGCTGAAATCCAGACAGACATATCCACAGCCTTCCCCTCATCCACCAGGCAGTGGATAAGCAGCAAGGACCTGGGATCTTGATTCAGAGCTCCTGAGCCAAACTCCTAAGAAACAATGGATAACCAGAGGTGGCAAGGACACATCTCTTCTTTTAATACTAATTCACAAAAGTTAAATATGGATGTTAAGTTAAACTTGAAAAATGGTGCCTTAATATGTGCAAATGTTAATAACAGGAGATGGACAAGCTTCAGGATTATTTAAAAATCACCATTGTCCCTGTGTTTCTCATCACCATGGAGTGAATCAGTGCTGCTACTCACCAATGCAGGTCCCATTCTCTGCTTTGGTCATTCCACTGGGACACAGGTCGATGCACTTGTAGCCACCACGGGTGTTCTTGCAGAGCTGATCAGGCCTGCACACGTTCTGCCTGCACTCATTAACATCTTATTCAAACAAAAAGGAAACAAAATAAACAAAGCTTGGCCTCTATATAATGAAATTACACCTGACCATGCCTTTGAATCATTTCATGCTCGTGCATCAGTCAGCCCAATTCCTGCTTCCTCTGGTTTTTAGGAGTGTTTTACAGATTCAGAAGTACAGACCAAAGTGTATCATCACAGCAGGATTTTCCTTCGTAAACAAACAGAGCAACAAATAAACGTTGAACTCTGTGTGCTGGAGAAAGGGAATGGACACTCAGCACTTCATCCCTACCCATGCATTTTCTGCCCTTCAGCTGGAATCCTGGGTCACAGCCACAGTGGAAACTTCCTATGGTGTTGAAGCAACGCTGATGGCAGGAGTTGGACTCTTGGCACTCGTTAACATCTGGGGAACAACACAAATCCTTGACACCGGCACTGGGAACTGCCCTGTGGGCTCAGTTACCTGTTACCCCAGGGAGTTCTGCTCAGGAATGTTTGCTGCTCTCCCATCTTTGTAAAAGGCAAACCCAAGAGTGTTAAGTTATTCCCTGGTTGGATTTTAAATTTATTGCTAAAGACAGAAAAAGCAAAAGGGTAAAAAAAAAAAAAAGAAGGCAAAAAATCGCCAATTAAAAAAACGTAACCCTCAAAGATCCACAACCCTAATAATGAAAATTTATAGGCAGATATTTGGAGATGCACCTTTAAAGTCAATTTCAGTTGCATGAAGGAGCATTTTCAGTTCCTGAAAGCCAACCCCCAAACCCCCTGTGTACCCCAAACCCAACCCCCAAACCCCCCATGTACCCCAAATCCAACCCCTAAACCCCCCATGTACCCCAAACCCAACCCCAAGCCCCCGTGTACCCCGAACCCCACCCCAAGCCCCCACACCCTGGCAGCCGAAGCCGTCGGCCGTTCTCCGGAAGCCGCTCCCACACCGGACCATGCAGCGGAAGGAGCCCATGACATTCTCACACTCCTGGCCAGGGTGGCAGCTGTGCCCTCCCAGTGCACACTCATCAATGTCTGGAATGACAAACAACCTGAAAACCCCCCTCACAACGGAACACAGCACCCTGAGCGTGAGTAGCCAGAAATACCAGCTGATTTCATTCAGGTATGAAGTAATTACAATACCACCAAGACATTGCATTCTTGTAATGAGAAATGGCCTAAAGAGAACCTTTCCTTGGCAATGTGAGTGACTTTTAAGGCATTTTAAGGCCTTAAAGTATTTAAGGGGCGCTTTGTATCTGACCTGTCCCCAGCAGCACCTCTCTTACCCTGACACGTCCTCCCGTCGGCAGAGATAGTGAGGCCCTTGGGACAGGAGCAGTAGTAGGATCCCACGGTGTTATGACAGGTATGGGAACAAGGATTTCCTACAGCACATTCATCTTCATCTGGAACAAGGAAACGTTTGCAAACCCAGTGGGACTTCACAAGAAAGTGCACCAAAGCGACCCTTCCTCAGAGGTGTGTGACTGGTAAAGCCACAGGGCAGAACTGGACCCAGTAATGGAGCAGCTTCTGTACAACTCCCTTCATGGACAACCTTGCAGGGGCCAATATAGTAAGCCAGTGAAGTATCTCAGATGATTGCTCCCTAAACCAAGCATGACTCAGTCAGCTAGAGAGACAGCCAGAACGCTCACACCCTTCCAGCAGGATGGAGGTGGACAGAACCATCCAATAGGTTCCCCAGCAGGAACCTGTGGGCTGTGGTCTGGGTTGCCAAGGTAAGTCCTTCCTTGCTCTGCAGGTGCTGAGGCTCAGTGTCCCTCAGGTGTATCTGAGGGACTGAGGAAAGGCTCTCTGGGCACTACTCACATTCTAGGTGAGGAGAGAAGCAAAGTCTTCATCTGCCATTGGATCCACACCCTTTGTCAATGGCACTGACACTTTCTGAAGTACTGCATGGTTTGAAACTCTAACTAAAGGTGGTGTAGATCCCGCGGGAGAGCACTGTGTCCAGCTCTGGAGATCTCAGTACCAGACAGACACGGACCTGAGAGCAGGTCCAGAGGAGGTGATGGAGATGCTCCAAGGGCTAGAGCACCCCTGCTCTGGACACAGGTTGGGAGAAGAGAAGGCTCCAGAGTGACATTATTGCAGCCTTCCAGTACCCAAAGGGGCTCCAAGAGAGCTGGAGAGGGACTTGGGACAAGGAAACGGAGGGACAGGCTTCCCGCTGCCAGAGGGCAGGTTAGATGGGATACTGGGAAGAAACTCTTCCATGGGAGTAAGGCCCTGGCACAGGTTGCCCAGAGAAGCTGTGGTTGCCCCTGGATCCCTGGAAGTGTCCAAGGCCAGGTTGGACGGGGTTTGGAGCAACGTGGGCTGGTGGAACGTGTCCCTGCCCATGGCAGGGGGTGGGATGAGTTTTAGGGTGCCATCCCCCCCACCCCGTGAGTCTGTGATTACACCACCCCTGCCCACCAGTACCTGAGCAGTAAGGCCCAGATGAGTCCAAACCAAACCCAGCAGGACACTGGTTGCTGCGATCCCCTGGATGGTAAAGGAAGCACATGTTACTTGGGGATAAAAATATGGCCATTTTACTACTTTAGCACTTCTATTTGGGCTCTAAAAGTCAGTAGTACATGTTTTATGCTGGTTTGAATAACATCAAATGGTGTGTGGAGGTTCCCCCTGGAGTGACTAGAAGTTCCACCTCATTACTACCTGATTTATATTTATGTGGGTTTTGCTGGGAGGAGAAAATACACAGTCCTTTTTCTTAGTAGGTATGGGAACACAAACCCAAACATAAAACCCACCACACAAAAGCACCCTGACCCCACAGAAAAGCAACAGGTTGGACAGGGCTTGGAGCAACCTGGTCTGGTGGAAGGTGTCCCCACCCTTGGCAGGGGGTGGGACTGGATGGACCTCCAAGCCCATTCCAACCCAAACCACTCCAGGATTCCATGATAATTTCATTTTAGAGAATGAAAGGGACATGCAAGGAAATGGAACTATTTCAGGTTAACTCTGAGGCTGCTGGGGATGCTGTTGGCAGTGTGGGTGAGAACCAGGGGTGAAGGAAGCACAAACTGCAACAGCTTTTACGTGTTAGTCTGTGGGTACGTTAATGAGACAGGTAGCTCTCAAGAGCTACAATAAAGTTACCCAACTTTCACAGAATTTCCTTTTGAGGCTACAGGGAATGAATTCTAGGAGAAGACGACACTATTTTGCCATTGTTTGATTTCTGGGAAAGACTAGAACAGTACCTTTTGCAATGGAAGCCTGGATTTTGAAAGCCACAGCTTCTTCCAGTGGGTTGTACTCCGTTGCAATGGAGGAAGCGTGGAGTGTTTCCACCAGGAAGGGCATCTTGCCCTTGGTGTAGTCGTAGGTGACGGTGTGGTTCCAGGTGTAGGGAACGCTGACTCCATCCATGGTGAAGAGCCGGGTGGAGTGGGCGTACAGCTGCCCCGGGCCAGTCTGGATGTAGTCCTCTGTGTAATCCTGGAACGTGGGCATCAGCTGCTGAGTGCACCCAAAACCTGGGCCATCTTGCATTTTAAAGTTGCATGAGAGTTCAGAGAAAGGGTTTGATCTGAACAAATGGTATTTCACACACACACGTCCTTTCCACTCTTATTTTAACTGCTGAACCTTAACAGCACCTGGTGCATTTCTTTAAACAAGATACAGACTGATGTACTGAGGAGCCTGATGATGGAGGCCACAGCACTGCCAAAAACCTGAAAATGATCTTACTCTTTCAGGTCAGAATATTTTGTTTGTATTCTAAGTCAGATGCTGACAAACGTGCTAAATAAACAGTAGAGAAAACTTCTGCCACTAAAAAGAGGTATAAATATTGGACATACAGTACATTGCAGTGTAGCATAATATCAACAACTTTATGCATATTTATTGTACAGTGGGATTAACACAGAGAAATACTGGTCAACTACCACTAACTAATGGTAGTCAGAGAGGTTAAAGATGCCACTTTCCAGCTCTATCAAAAGCAACACCAATGTGCCTGCAATAACTACCCTGAAGACCCTTCTCAGCACCATCTGCCAACATCTCAGATTCCTGAGAGGCCAACATCACCTGCCTGATGACAACTTTTTGCTTTCAAAGGCAACATCAGCATCTGTCAGTTAAACCAGGCATAAAACAAGCCACATACAGTACAACAGTTTTCAGGAGTTAGTGTTTACTGCTTTACCCTAGATGAGGAGGGAGGGAGGGTGGGAGGAAGAAAAGGAGGGAGGGATGGCAGCTTTACCTTCACGTTGACATCAGCCAGGGCCGGGAGCTGCAGCACGTGGCCGCTCACAACCACGTCCAGGAGCAGGGCCCCGTCGGAGTCCAGGCCGCGCGCGACGTGCGTCAGCCGCAGGACCTCACCTGGGGATTGCAGAGCACCCTGGTGTGTCCAGCTTCCCAACCACAGACTCCTGTTACCACAGGGGATCGGAACGGGAATCCCCTGACGAGTTATTTTACACTTGCATTTTCTAAGGGTACTATCATCAAAACCATGGCATGTTTCAAACCACAGCTCTAAAAGCTGTATTTAAGCCTCAGACACAGTCACTCAGAAAATATTGCTGTGAGCACAAGACTCAAGTTTCAGCAATGGTCCTGTGCAATTTTTTAAGAAATGCGGGATCTATCCAGCTTAATGGACACGGAAAGAGCTGGTCTATCCCAGGGAACTCACCAGTTGCAAACTCCACTTGAGTTTCTCTCTTGAAGACGGCATCAGTGAGCGTGAACCCGTTCATTGCTTCCCCAATTTCTTTGGCAGTTGTCCAATAAACTGGGCTGAGTATGGAAACGAGCTTTCTCATGGCTGGGCCTGAAAGAATGACCACAGAAAATCAGGGAGCTTTAATCTGAACATCATGCAATCCACATCCCCAAGAGTGAATGCAGACCTAAAACTAAGGTAACCCTTCAGATCTAAACCAGAACACAGGATGTACTGGTGTACTCAGAGCAAAAAAAAGTGATAAAAGTGAAAAAGCCTACCAATGCTCCGAGGGACGTTTGTGATCTTTGCCTGTATGACTCTGGTGTCTGAGTCTGGGCTGTCCGCCACCGTGGCGTTCAGGAAAGCAATCCCAAATTCCACACCATTAATGTTGCCAATGATGCTGCCCTTGGCACGGGCAGGCCCACCTGTGCAGAGCGGGGAAGGAGGGAGGGAAAAAAATGGGCCACATGATGTGTGCTGTTGGATATTGTAGGGGAGATTGAATTAAGCTTAAATTGCAAGGGAGGTTTAAGCCCAAAAAATTAAATTACTCGGTCAGCTGGGCAAGACATGAGAGCACCAGTGAAATCAGGAGAGCCACAGGCTTTCCCCACACCGCACAAGCTGTAAACCAACTCACCGGGACACGGTTGGGTGTTGCACCGGGATATCTGGGAGGAGTCCCCGGGGCAGGGCCGGCCGCGGTTCGATGGGGCGGGGCTGCTGCACAGGCGTACCCGGCTCTGCTCTCCCCCGCCACAGGAGGCAGAGCACGGGCTCCACGGCTGCCAGTGCCCCCAGTTCCCATCCACTGGAGCAACGGAGAAGGAAGAAAGCCATTTTTCAGTTTAAATGTTTCAGGCTGCATCGGTTATGCTCAAGTTCATTACTTCTTCAGGGAACTAGTGTGTTAAAGGAATAGTTCAAAGGATGACCAAACCACCTTGGTGGGCAGGTGTGAACCTTCTCCCTCAGAAACATAGTGGAAGAGACATTTTCATAGGCTATGTCCTGGTTTGATTTATTCCCTCTCCTTTTGGGAAAATCTAACATGTGAAGGGCAAAATCCGTGTCAGGTGACAGTCATTTAAAAAGGCAGAGGATTATCAGATTGTATGAAATCACAAGGAATTATAAGGGTTTTCACAGAATCTCAGAAGGTTTGGGTGGGAAGGGGCCTTAAAACCCATCCAGTGCCAACCCCTGTCCTGGGCAGGGACACCTTCCACTAGCCCCAGGTTGCTCCAAGCCCCATCCAACCTGGCCTTGGACACTCCCAGGGATGTTCTACGTTCCTTCCACAGCATGAAAATCTCCCACACATTACGGGATGCCTTCCAGGGCCAGCTGCACTGGCCCTGGTGCAGTGAGCACTCACCTGGGCACGGGTCGGTGCTGCACCTCTGGCTCTGCAGGTCGGGCCCGGCGCAGCCCCTGCCGCCGCTGGCGGGGCGCGGGTTGTCGCAGCTGCGGTGCCGCCGGGCCTGGCCCCCGCCACACGTGCGGCTGCAGCTGCCCCAGCTGCCCCACGGGCCCCAGTTGCCGTGGACTGAAAAAATAAGTCACATCTGATCTGTCTTCCTCTTAATAACAGTTATTTAAAACCAGACAGTAAAGCAAGGAAAACGCTTCTACTGGAGAGTAACTTCTTAATCTCTTTTTCCAAAATAAAAAGAACCAGAGCTAAGGAAGGGATCCGTTCAGCCCCCTGCTTGTTGTGGGAGTGTGTGACTTGTGCAGCGATCCCTCCCCTCCTGCACACCCCCAAAGCCAGGGAGGGGGTGAGCAGCCCGACCCGGAGCACTTACTGGGGCAGGGATCGCTGTTGCAGAAATCCATCTGAACGTCACTCCCTTCACACTTGTGTCCCCCGAACTGCGGGGCCGGGTCCGAGCAGAGCCGCGTCCTCTGCCTACTGCCCCCCCCCACAGGACACGCTGCAGGCGCTCCAGCTGCTCCAGGGGGCCCACTTCCCATCCACTGCGGACAGAGGCACGGCACAGTTACAGTCTGACTGCGGGAATGACAAAGCAAAGCAAGGCTACCTCAGGAAAAGTGACCGGGGGAGGTCACAGACTCTCTTTCCAGAACATCTCGGCTACACAGGCATTCCTACACAGGGACCTGGGGTTCTGCTGGATGAGGGATGGACATGACCCATCCACGTGCAGTGGCAGCCCTGAAACCCCTGTGCCCTGGGCTGATCCCCCAGCGTGGGCAGCAGGGCAGGGGGGGATTCTGCCCCCCCAGGTGAGACCCCCCTGCAGAGCTGCTCCAGCCCTGGGGAACAGCACAGCAAGGACATGGAGCTGCTGGAGAGAGTCCAGAGGAGGCCCCAAGATGAGCAGAGGATGGAGCAGCTCTGCTGGGAGGAAAGGGGAGAGAGTTGGGATTGTTCACCCTGGAGAGAATAATCCAGAGTGACATTATTGCAGCCTTCCAGGGCCTAAAGGGGCTCCAGGAGAGCTGCAGAGGGACTTTGGACATGGGCCTGGAGGGACAGGACAAGGGGGAATGGCTTCCCACTGCCACAGGACAGGGTCAGATGGGATATTGGGGGGAAATCCTTCCCTGTGAGGGTGGGGAGGCCCTGGCACAGGTTGCCCAGAGAAGCTGTGGCTGCCCCTGGATCCCTGGAAGTGTCCAAGGCCAGGTTGGAGCAACCTGGGCTAGTGGAAGGTGTCCCTGTCCATGGCAGGAGGCTGGAACTAGATGAGCTTTAAGTCCCTCCCAACTCAACCCATCGTTCTCTGATTCTAAGATTTCCAGGAGTGACAGTGAGAGAAAGAGATGATCTGTCTTTTAAATAACCCATCAGCCTGATCTGAATCCTGGTCCTCTGGCTGCAGCTGTACTGTCTGAAGATGGAGCCATCACCACCTTCTCCACCCCCTTCCTAACCCACCTGTGATTTACTGGTTCTGCAGTTTGGATAACAACATCCAGCACCAATGGACATTGCTACTCAGGGATCTCACGTGGGGCAGGTCTGAGCAGCTGAGCACGGGGGGCTCTGATCTCCTAAGATGTGGTGACACAAACTGGCACAATCACATCCCTGTGAGCACTGGAGCTGGGGGCTAAGGGGCTGAGTAGTCTCAAGCCATTTGCAAGCAACAGCATCCTCAGCAGCAGCACATGGAGCTGTACAAATGTGTAACATCAGGCCCTTGGGTGCTCCACTACCACGAGGTCAGTTCTCCCTCCCACCAGCTGTAGTCAGAGTGGGGACTCAGTGCAGGATCTGGCATGTGAAAAATGGAGCGTGAAGCCAGAAGGCTCAGTCTGAGCTACTGCACATTCCACTCCATGGAACTTTCCTTTGTTATCCCTGCACTCAGCCAAATATAGAGGTCCTGTTTCAAAATCGTGAGTTTTCCTATCCACTCATGAAGGACTCACTGAAAATGTGGAAGGAAAGGATAAATGAAAAACAGATCTTGGGAAAAATTAAAAAAAAATGTTTAGGAAACCTGTAATTTAACTGCCAAGGATTTAAATTGCTGCTTTTGGGGGGTAAAAGAAGAGAAGCAAGGACAGGAGAAGAAATCCCATCTCTAGGGTCTACAGAGGGAGGCTGAACATGTGACGGGGCCAGGACAGTAAAAGCCCCGAGGGGGAATTTGTTCAGTACCCCCCGTTTAGAGCAGTGTCAAACACAAAGGGAGCAGACAGGCGGTGTGAGCAGTGTCCCCTCACCTGGGCAGCGTCTCCGCTGGCACAGCTGCAGCTGGGTGTCGGGGCCGCGGCAGCGCTGCCCGCCGTGCGCGGGGGCCGGGCTGGCACAGAGCCGCGCCCGCCGCTGCGTGCCCTGCCCGCACGTCTCGCTGCACGGGCCCCACGGCAGCCACGGGCTCCACTCCCCGGCCACTGCAACGGCAGCACACAGCACATCACACATCACACCGCTCCTCAGGAGCTGCTCAGCACCACAAGGGCAACAGCACACGCCCTGAGCGTGCCCTGGAAACCTCTGCCTTGAGCAACGGCTGAAATGGGTCAGCGGTTTGGTTTTCAATGCATCACCTCGCCGTGATCTTGGAACAACAGAACCGACAAGACCCGAGGGAATGGCCTGAAGTTGTGTCAGGGGAGGTATCAGGAAAAGGCTCTTCCCCCAGAGGGTGGTTGGGCACTGCCCAGGCTCCCCAGGGCAGTGGGCACAGCCCCAAGGCTGCCAGAGCTCCAGGAGGGTTTGGACAACGCTCTGAGGGACAGGGTGGGATTGTTGGGGTGTCTGTGCAGGGCCAAGAGCTGGACTGGA